CCAGTGATTTGAACAGCCTGGTTGGTTTTTCAATGTGGGAAACGCACCACATTCTACTGAAATATGTGAGGAACCATTCCTCCACTTTAATCAAACCAGTGATTTGAACAGCCTGGTTGGTTTTTCAATGTGGGAAACGCGCCACATTCTACTGAAATATGCGAGATTTGAACAACCTGGTTGGTTTTTCAGTGTGGGAAACGCGCCACATTCTACTGAAATACGCGAGATTTGAACAGCCTGGTTGGTTTTGCAATGTGGGAAACGCGCCACATTCTACTGAAATATGTGAGGCACGGTGGTGAAATCAGGCACTCCTCAAAATAACAAAATCGGAGAAACAGGTATATTCCGCTGGTTTGGAAATCTTTGCTGAATTTTTAGTTTTTGGCTTAAACTCTTTCGTGTCCATATAAAAACACATTTCCATGTGGATTTTTACTGAAAAACATTGATTAAAAGAACAAAATATGTCATTTTTAAGTTTTCAAAGACTCTTTAGTTTTTGGAGTTACCAAACTTTGGCGGCCATTTTCTCGTTAATTTCACCACTGAAACCAGGTCACCTCATTTCCTTCAAAGGTAGATATCTCAAGTTCTATACAAAATAAATAGAGATATATTGGAAGCACGTCAAAGAAATCAGCTTTCACATGATACCGATAACCCCACATGCCCAAAAATTGACAAGCGCCTGATTCTACCGCGTCGTAACAAATATTTATGCACAGCTTCTGCCAAAGGTGCAGAATCGGCCCCAAGGGAGTATCGATTTCCGTTACTTTCTCCCGAGTGAGTAGCATGGCCTTGCCTGTGAGCCCAAGGTCTGTGTATCGAACGACACCATGTTATTTTCCTCAAGGACATGATAGTAATCGAATGTGAGCCAAAGACTGATTCATAGTTACTTTTTAAAATTGCTATGTATATGTTTTTGTTGTTGTTGTTGCTTTCATCAAAATATGAGTTCAGCTATTTTCCCCTTCCGGGTCATTAAGTGACAAGAACCAAGTATTCGTGAGCATGTCTATTTCTCTACGTGCATATATCGATTTTTCTCACTCATTCCGCTGCGATTGGAGTCCGTTCATTTCCAAAACCAAGACGAATGTGTGGTCATTACGTTCTCTCTCTCTCTCTCTCTCTCTCTCTCTCTCTCTCTCTCTCTCTCTCTCT